TTTAGAGATTTAGTGAGTTCATTCACTGTCATCTGAGCAGTGAGAATATATTTCAAATCAATGATTCTCTGATTCAACTGTCAATGCAAAAAATAAAAACATGTATCAATATGCTTACTTCAGGCTGTAATGACTGTTATCTTTGTGAGATCTATGACATTCTTATTATCAGTGAGAATCTGTATCAGAGATGTAGTGATGAAGTCAAGCTTAATTATGAGATTCTGAATTCATGTTGCCTCATGGATCACCTCACTAAGAGTCATATATTCAGTCTCATTGAAACTTAGAGATATACAAGGTTGCTTCACTGAACATCATGAAATTGAGTCATCTGTGAGCTTAAAAATGTAGCTGAATGTTGATTTCCTATCACCATTCAAGAAGCTGGCTCAATCAGAATCCAAGTAGCTGAAGAGTAGGTAGAAATCATCATGGAAATCAGAGATAATGAAAAGATCAGTAGAAATGAAAAGATCAGTAGAAATGAACCTCTTATACAGGCCACATCTGTAGAAAATACCCAGATTCATGATCTCTTTCAAATAATGTATAACATGTAATAGAGCCTTTCAATATTGAGATGTTGAATCAATGTTCTGTTAAGTGAGTAGTGAGACAGTATAAGTGATATCAGAATATGTTTTAACTGCAAGATATTGTAAGTAATTCACATCATATTAATATCATCAAATTGTGAAATCAGTCTCTTTCTCAGATATAGAGGAATCATCAATACAGAATTCATTCTTTATTAATATTCTGACAACAGCTGCATCATCAAGATAGAAATCTTCAACAAGACATTTGATATATTGACAATGTATTAAATCAATTCTCTTATTTAAACAATTAATCTTTATACTCAAATACTTGATTGACTGATGTAGATTCTTGACTTTCAATTTCTCACTGAGTATACTCACTAGTCAATTGACATTCTCAAAAACTTTAAATATGATGTTAAGATCATCAATGTAGATTGTCATATAGAGATGATATCTGAATATATAATATTAGAGTGCTGAATCATAGATACTGACTGTAAATTCAAGATCACTTAACAGAGCTGTTAAGTAATCATACCAGATCTTTACTGCAGAGTTCAGACTGTATAAACTATTCTCAACTATGCAGACAAGTGTTTTCAGTGAACTCATCTCAAATCTGATGAATTGTCTTATATAGATCTTCTTAGTGAGGCACTCATGCAGATATATCATCACTATATTCACTTGACAGAGTATTCAACCGCATAGTACTGCTATTATAAAAAGAATACAATTAGTAGTATTAGTGATAACAGAAGCATAGATCTCTTCTCTAGAATCCTTCTTAAGTCAGTTATTATAAATCACTCAATGTGATTTTCTAAGAATATCATCAGAATTGACATTCAGGTCTGTGAGTCTATCTTTCTCAAGAAACACTAAACAGCCTGAAGCAATTGATTCATTTCTCAGAACATCAGATCTAGAGATTAAACTTCATGTATTGTATCTCTTCAGATTGATAATCTCATGTTGTATGAACTTCTTTCAATAATCTTCTACTCTCTCTGACTGAGATGTGGCATTCTTGTAGAACTTTGAGAGGTTACCTGTAACAGAGCTTGAAGTGTAAGTAGTCAGCGATTTCGCAGGCTGCAATCATGTGAAATTCAGATCATCAATGTTGAGAGCATCTTCATTATCAATCAGATGAATATCAGGTTCTGATTCAATAACATGATTAATGAGTTTCACAGATGTAACAATCAGTTTTTCAGTGATCAGAAACCTCACATCACTACTGATAATAATCTTGTCAGATTCAGAATATCATAGATGATATATCAATGTGCCACTGAATTCAATGATATGATAGAAATCAGTACATGAAGAAAGCTTATCCACGGGCTGCTGAGATTCATGCAAGTGAATAAAAACCTCTGCATTCAATCAGCAAAAATGCCTCACATTCAGTGAGGTATTTGTAAGTGCATATCAAGAAATCTTATGTGAACTTGAAATCACAGAAGTCTCTGTAGTAGAGGATCAAAATTTTAAGTTATAAAGAACTGTAGACATGAGAGTATTATTAATTATTATAATCACTGTCTCTAGAACATCTGTTCAGAACTTCTTAGAGAGATTATCTTTCAAAAGAGCAGCTCTAACCTGTCTCATGATAGTGCAGATTTCATGTTCAGAAACATTATTCTGATGTAGTAAATGTAATACTGTTGATTTTCATTTGATATTATATGAATTCATAACTGTGTGCATACATGTGAATTGGAAAACATCATCATTATCAGTTCATAGAAAAGCAGAGGCTATATATCTGAGATTATTCATGAATCTGAGTCACAACTCAAAGTATTGAACAGCCTCATTCTTGAACTTTAAAAAATATACTCAATAGTAGCAGGTCACATCACAGATAATAAACATTCAGTATTTAATTCTCTGATGAAACTCTAAGAAATAATCAGAGAGGTCTTTCAATGTACATTTATCATCTACAAGATTAATATGAATCTTCTCAATAAGTTGAATAGATCTAGACATCAGTGTTTTCAAATAATCTCATGTCATATCTGTCTTGACACATTTCTCACAAAAGAACTTAGTCTTAGAACTCTTAATTGTGACTTCAGTATGAGAATCCTTGATCATAGTAATTATAGCATCAGTGTGAATGTGACTGAGATCACAGTGTCAGTTTAAAAGAGTCTTTGATATTCTTGTATTCTTGAGACCTGTATTCAGAACTGTAGAATCAATGTTATCAACAGTAGTGACAGTAGTTACAGAAAGATCAACTTTTCAGTCAAAATTGTACTTATATGACATTGCAATATACTTGACTGTCTTGTTTAGATGATTAAAATTCTCATTGAACTTTCATTCATCAATCTTATATATGTTGTTCTGAGCAGTTCAAACTGTATGAAAAATAACATCATTTGAGACTCTGCAAATGAAAAATGAGAGAATAGTGACAGATAATATAAATTGAAATCTCTGATCTTCAAGCTTTGTAAATAAGAGCAGGTTAACTGTAATATTAGAGATATAGTGAACATTCTGCAAGTTAATATTATTACTCTCAATCTTCAAGATGACAGTCTCAATCTTCTTGATAAACTCAGTTCTCTCAGTGATAGAATCAACAGAGATGTTATTATTAAAAGATTTAATATTTAAAAAAGAATAAAGCTCACTCATCATATTCAGACTTGCACATGTGTTCAAATATTAAGATCTAGAGAATGATTTTTCAGTGACTGTGAAAGAGAAATAGAACTCAATCTTTATAATTACTGCATTTACTGCTGATTGAGAACTTATCAAGTTATTCTTCTTCTCTTTCTTCTTGTCATTCTTCTTATCATTCTTCTTTTTCTTTTTATCAGAGTGTAAGATGAAACACCTGTTAACAGTATATTCATATCTTCTGCAGTGAGTGTACTTTCATACAGATGTGCTTTTATTCTTATCTTTATTCTTATTCTTTTTCACAGTCACAGAATCAGCCTGAGGCTGCTTTTTTCACTTGATAATAATCTTTTTGAATGTACAATTGATCAGTTACTTTATTAAATCATTGATATCAATATTGACAATGAGTCTCTAATCAGTGAAGAAAAACTCATTCAAATATATCTTGATAAATAATCTTTGATAATCTTGTAGATTGTTGAGGAAAAGATTATAATATACATTCTCAGTGCTCTGACAGAGCTTCTTATAATAGATAATAAAATAGCAGAAATGTCTCTGAAAAGTAAGATAATTATTCTTCTTAACTTATAATTTTATCAATTTCTTGAAGATATTAACTCATTCTTCTATCAGTGATATTATATATTCAATACTAATCTTATCTCACAGAGCTGCAGCATTGTCAGCTTTCAAGATTTTAATAGTGATTTAAATGTTTTTAATAAGACTCAATAGTATACATCTATATAGAGACTTGAAACAAATTCTTCACTTCTCAGAGTTAATATAACATATAAAAGAAAATTCTTATTAAGTTTTTAATAGAATGTCAGTTTCATTAATAACTTTCATATCAGTTAATATATCAATATATCAGACTTTATAATTAGAGTTATTAAATGTAATCACTGATTTAATATTTAATGTATATTTGACTTTCTTCTGATATTTCTGCAACTTATCTCTCATAGTGTCTCTTTATATAGAGACAGATGTAGTGAGATATTAAGTGATTTCAGTCATAGTTATTTAATTTCATAGTATTATCTATATAAGATTTATAAGATTGTCTGTGATGTAATAGATAAATTAATTCAGATTATTATTAAAAGTCAGTATTTCAGAGATAAGAGATAGTGAAGAATTTAATAAGTTAAAATGAACAGATTCTGTAGATGAATATTAACTCTGCTTTTCTTTATTCTGAAGTTTTTTCATTATCTCATCATTAAATTTCATACTCTGATGAAAACTAATCTTAGTCTTATCTTACAAGTTAGAAGTCTTCTTATAATAAGTGATTATTCTATTAATAAGTTATCTAGTAAAGTGTGTGATTCTGAGTCTTGAGCTGAACTCTGAAGTAACAGATATATTACTTATCAAGATAACTCTGCTTCTTCTAGATATATAAAAAAAGAAGTGATATTCTTCACAATGAAGAATGCACTTTCTTAAAAATATAAAGTATATGAATCTGCTGACTGATAGATTCAGAGAAAATGAAATATCTCTAATAAAGAGTGAGAGTTTTTTCAAAAAAGATGAACTATCTGTGTCAAAAAAATGTTAATATAACATTCTAAAAAGAAAAACATGTCATTCAGGCTATAACCTGTAGAATAGTTGAAGGTTGTATTGATAGATCTATCTACAGGAACATAATATAGTGGTGGGTCACGTGATCTAGTGGGATCGCTAACCGCAACGGCCGTAAGGGCCAACAAATGAATAGGTTGGGGTGGCACGTGACTAGGGTAGGTGTAGTAATCACCAACAAGAAATATAGTAGTAATACGATGTTGGTGGCGTTCAGTAGTGTATAACCTCTTTTTCCTGACAGATATTTACTTATAAAGATGCTGGTGACGGATTTTGCCCGTATAAGTCTATTTCAGAGTGTTCATTTATCCATACGTGACAGGCTCATAAGACAGACTGTATCCTGACAGGACCAATAATAATAACAATACAATACCAGGGATAGATTTAGACTCTCCGTCCCGCCAAGCTAGGGGTTTGACTATTGGGCAATTGCGCTTTGGCTTGTTGATGATGAGATAGATGGTGTGGAAATTTTGGGGCGGCGCCATATGAAGCATGGCTTGGTTTATCCCCACATCGGACTCGGAGAAGCGGCCAGAGAAGAGTCGAAGAGCAAAAGAAAAGAAAAGGGAAAGGAGAAGGAGAAGGAGGAAGGACCAGAGAGTGCAAAGGGAGAAACAAACCCCTGAGTGGGTTCGGATTCTTCCACTACTAACCAACGATAGTAAAATAAACGTAATAAAATAAAATCGCGTCATAAAAACGGGGGACGAGTCGCGTGTCTTTTTATGCTGGAGGGAGCAGGGTTAGTTGTACTAGTAATAATGATAATAGAATAATAATAATGATGGTGATGAGTTTGTATGAGTTCGCGACCGCGCGGCATGATAACATGGAAGCATGAATTACTTCATTATATTTATCAAGTAATTAATAGCAAATAGTCGGCCTTCTGCCTTGCATGAACTAGTGAGTCAGTACGGAGTACAGTAGTACATACATAGTATACATACATACTAGGGGAAGGCATTCCGCACTCTGTACAGAGTATACGCTACGTGGTAAAGAGTACTGTAGCGTACTGCGCTATCCTATTCTTGGTCCGTCTTCAATAATACCGGGCTTGTTTGTATTTCTGCTGGTTGCGGGAGTGACAGAAGTACCGCCGAGGTACCCGTCCAGCGGTGTAGTGGCTACAGGATACCTTTCCGTGACCCGACCCACTATCAACCCACCAACCAGGCGGTTGGTCCACGCTGGACAGACTTACGGTAATCTTTCGGTCATGAGTGCAGTAATAATTGTATTTAATGGTGTGCCGCTGATAAAGTGTCGGTAATAATGTGTGTAATGCAGGCGTAATTTCACGGTGCCAGACACACACTAACCGCCTCTGGCTGCAGCAACAGCAACGGGGGTTCATTCCTTTCTTTCTTTCTTTCTTTCTTTCTCCACGCTCGTTTTTTTTCTCTTTCTCCTCCGCCTCAACCTCAACCTCAACCTCAACCTCATCCTATCCCCATCTTCATCCCTATCCCATCCGCCTTCATCCTTTTAATTTCGCCTGTCGCCCTTCTCTTCTCTCTTCTCCCTTCTCTCTTCTCTTCTCTTTTCATTCTCTTCATCTCTTGTTGCTCCTCGTTCTTCTGCTTCGTCTCCGTCTACTTCTTCCCTCTCCCTCCGTGTATTCGGAACCGCTATATATATTTCTCTGCTGTCTCTTTGGCTGTTCTCCCGTTTGGGTTCGTCGGCGTCTCTCTCGTGTTACCCTGCCTCCTGTCCCCCCTCTCCGCTTATTACTGAACTCCCTCCTCCCCCCATTCGGTCAGCCATCTCGTTCATCCTGTTCGACTCCTCTCTATCGCTTGATCCCCTTGGCGGCTCGAGCAAAATCCCGCTTGCCTGGACCCTCCCGGACTACGACAACTGGACAAACGGCGAGGTGCTGAGCGTTTGGTCTTGGTCTCCCCCGTTTCCTTCCTCTTGCCCCCCCTCCCCCTCTTTCCCCCCCGGGGAACAGCCCATCGTAGCCCATCTCGTCACTTACCGTCCTGGCTGGCACCCATCTCTCCCTCCAACCAAAACCGTATCCCTTCCGGCTGCTTTTTCCTCGTGCTGGTCTGTTCTGCTGCCTTTGTGTGTACATGACATGTACAGGTTCCTTTGCATGCATCTCGACAACTAATTCCGCCCGCTGAACACACAGACCAGACTCGGATCCTAGCTGGCCCCTCCCGTCCCGTCTCGTGTCGGAGCAAATCAAATCAAATCAAATCAACCAAAAAATAAAAATAAAAAAAATAAAATAAAAGAATAAAAAATAAAAAATAAAAAGAAATTCCAAAAAAATTCCACCAGACCAGCATCAAATTGAGTCTTTGGTGGTGGTCCCTTCCACGCCTCTTTCGTTCTCCTGTAACGACTTGATGCTGCATACGACTGATGAACACGATTTGGCCTACCGCGTCTGATTCCCTGTATTCCCCCAAAATCCGCGACTTTAATTCTTTTCCCTTTCATTCGTTGTTGTCCACGGCCCCGAACGAAATTCCTGCAGATTTCCCAGTCTGTCGACAAAACACACAAAACCACTTGCCGTTAGCATCTGATCCTGGAGTCTACCACTTAGAAACCAAGTGACACAAAATCGACCAACCAAAATCTTCCTGATTTTTTACGCGTTTACGGAAAGTTTGATATCCCTCAGAAGAAATTAATAGCGAAGTCTTTAACTGCGCGATCCTATACTCATATTCTCGTTACGATCTCCGCCTCTTATGGTTGAATAGTTGCTTTTGTGGCCTCGTGTCTTACCCATTTGCCATTTACAAAGGACGAAAAAGAAAGAAAAAATTCCTCAATCCTCTACCACCCACACACTCCCCTCTGGCAGGCTTCCGTTCATTAGCGGTCGCCATGAGTAATTACCATCCTCAGCCTCAGGACATGTATCACGACAACCCCTCCTCCCGATCCCCAGGTTCGCAACGCCATCATTCCCACCAGCAACTTCACCGTCAATCATCTAGGCAATTCGATGCCTATGGCCCGATGACCACTGGACTATACGACGATCCGATGGCTAGATATGACTCCGTTCGGCTGGATCGCCTAAACCCAGTCCTTCAAGGGAACTCCTATGCATACGATATGTCTGGCTCTCAGACTTGGAATTCAAACGGATTTGGAACTACAAATACTCTTAGCGGCATCGGGTCTGGAACTGGAGCCAGCACGGGAAGGATGAAGCCGACTGCGCGCGGCAGGACTGGACTGCCCGCTGTAAGTCCTTGATTTCAACAGTTACCTGCCTTACCCAGATCCCCTTTTGTGATTGACTTTGTGATTTACTTTGAGTGGGAGAAGAAGAAAACAAAAGTTCATTTAACCCCCTTTTGATCTCGCCCAAACTAACATAAGTGGTCGAAGACTTGGCTTGACCAACAACCAGGACTCGCAGGCCCGTTCAGCTTAGGACCCAATTCCCTCCAGCCGATGCAGAACCGTTCAGAGAATCTCAGTCCTGAAGGAGACGACGAGCTTATTCCGACCGCTATAGTGATCAAAAATATCCCATTTGCGGTGAAAAAAGAACAGCTAGTCCAATTGATGACAGAGATGAATCTCCCCCTCCCCTACGCGTTTAACTATCATTTCGACAACGGTGTCTTCCGGGGTTTAGCGTTCGCCAATTTCACTTCGGCTGAGGAAACAGCCACTGTAATCGAAGTCTTAAACCATTTCGAGTTACAGGGAAGGAAACTTAGAGTTGAATATAAGAAGATGCTTCCCTTGCAGGAAAGGGAGCGGATTGAGCGTGAAAAGCGTGAGCGCAGGGGTCAATTAGAGGAGCAACATCGCCCAATGCCAAACTCCCAACTCAATTCCCAGCCTTCATTGTCATCGTTGACATCGCACATTCCCGTGACTTCCCCGTCTCCAGTCTCCCAACGTGGTGCGGAATTAAGTGCGTTATTTCAACTCTCCTTTTTGTGATACTTTTTCTCCATTCACTGGCTGACTCAAATAGAAGTTAACATGAACGAACCCGAAACTCTTCAATACTACTCTCAACTTCTCTTATTTAAGCAAGATTCGAGCAAGGAAGCCCTGATATTCCCTGCGAAGTTATCGCCACTGCAACGCCGTACAGTTCATACCCTTGCTCATAATATGGGATTAGGGCATGCGTCCCGAGGTACTGGTGACCAGCGTCAGGTTCACGTGTTCAGAGCAACAGACTCGAATGTTAGCCCTCAGGGACCAGCGAATCCGGCCACTGTCCAGACGGCCGACACATCCCGCCGTGGGCTCAACCGTGCTGCGACAATCGACTTCAGCGAGGCTAGAGGTGATGGCCCTGGTCCTTTTAACACCCTTCGTGGACATCACTCTGGTTTCCTCAGTGTGCTCGACTCGCCCAGTAGCTTTGGTAATGCACAAAACCTTCGAGCAGCCAAGTCCTTCGCCGACCTGCGATCCTATACGCCATCTCCGGTGCCTTCTTCTGCTAGTTTTCCTGCGGCTCTCCAGTCTAATGGGACTCGTTTCCAGCCTTTCGATGGAAATACTAGCGCTGCATCTAACACACCAACTTTGACCCCTACTCCTTCCGGTTCTTCAATGGCAATTCAACGCGATGATAACCTACTGGTAAACACTTTAGGTGGACTCTCCCTTGGAACTGGCATTGGTGGGCCTAATTCCGGCAGCCCTAGACGGCTTCGCGGAATGTTTTCCTGGGAACAACAGGATTCCCAATCATCCGCCACTGCTCCAATTGGGAGTAATAGATCAATTGGTCTGGGTTTTGATTCACAACCTTCTCAGGAGCGCATCCCCATGAGACAGCCTAGAGGCCCAGCTCCCGAGCGCGGCTCAGGTTTTCGCCGCCAGAATGGACATCAGACTCGAGGGAGCGACGAGCTGAGATCTGTCTCTAACGTCGAGATAATTGTTGAGTAAATACTTCATAAAGCCCTGATCACCGAATCAATTTACGGCGACAAATGTATACCATTTCATGAATGAAAGACAATACCCACAAATCCACTCAGGCCCTCTATTTACCCCCAGCGAGGGTAATGTCTTTACGATTCAATGACGCATGACGAAATGAACCAAATCAAAAGAGAGACTAAAATACAAAAGTTATTTACACCGGGATTATATGGAAACGTTAGATCTTAATTTTTGGGGCAGCCTAACAATCATAAAATTTGGAGCCTCGTCCCCCCCTTCCCTCCCAAAAACAATCCACAACTCTTCCTTGTTTTCTCGACAAGAAATGTCAACAGACATTCTATCAGATTTGGACACTGTGATCGGAGGGTGCGCATTCTTTCCTACAACTGAGTGTTTGTGAAGAAAATATATGACAAAACGACAAAAACATGTTTCAAAAACCGTCTTCCTCGCTGCTGTTGTATTTTTCTTTTCCCTGCGTGATTCCTGTTTGCGTTGCAAACGCACTTCTTTTTCTTTAATCTTGGAAAACTCGCGGGATATCATGTTCATCTGAATTGCATTATAGTCGTCCAGTTGTATAAGGATTACGTTTTTTCACCGTATATTTCATATAATCATTTTCCGTATTCTGTTTCTTCATATTTTCTCCTTTTTGGCTTTTCTCCTTCGTTCCTTTCCTTGCGCTCTCACGAATATACCTTGCTCTGACGTCGGCACTCTACCAGGTACCTAATTGGAGGAAACCAAATATTCTGATTCCAACTAAGTTGTTTCCTGATCAGCAAATATTAGAACTGGGACCAAGCGCCTGTATATCCAGTATGTGCTAGGATTAGAGAAACGGGCCACTAATTCAGCTTCAATTTCTACAATACATCATCAACCTGGTT